TAATTAAGTGTGTATATGTATAAAACAGACTAGAATAACTCCTTCTGAGAAATTCTACCTATCCTATTGATTATATAAATTTTGAAAGAAATAACTAAATATGTATATACCTAGTAGACATATCGGTAGGAGCCATTTCACCCCTACTGAGATAGATATACTCACTAGACATACTTAGATCAGTAAAAATCATTCTGAGTCTAAAGGTAACAATTTATAGCTTTAACTTTCATGCTAGTTTTGTAACCATAATTTAGTCTTTCTGAAAAAAAAGTAAAGGTAAATACTGCAATCAAATGTTAACAATTAATAAGTAAAGTCTGATATTCATACTCTGATGTGCAGCTTGATATTCAGTTAATTCTGATGCTTTATGAAAATCATTGTAAAACTATTTTACGATTCTCAAAAATACTGTAACAATTTCCAAATTATTAAGTACCTTCACTAACTTAAATTCAAGCTATCCACTTAAAGTATAATAATACCTGCTAATTTAAACTGAAAAAATATTGCATAAGAAGTTATAAATACTTTTTAAAGTAGTTATTTCTTCAAAAATAAATAGCATATTTTTCTTCTTAATAAGAACATTAAATTTGACTCAGAGAAGGAAAAAATAGCTATATTTAACTTATATACTCATGCATATTATTGTGTATTTTTACAGTCAAAGGTAGAGGGTTTTTTTTTCCAAATGAGAGAAATTATTTAGCTATTCAAGCTTCAAATACATAAAATGCACTCCAAACAAAGGGGATTCAAGTGGTGGTGTCAAACAGCAGAAGTATAGTGGAAAAACAAAAGCACATTCATTTTCTCATCCGTGGGTAATACTGAATAAAATATTTAATTAAATAATTTGGGAATGCTTATCTATAATTAGCTACATGGTTTATTTTGATATTTTATGTACAGATACACACATTGTAAATGGTTACGTTTTGTAGAGTGTAGTAATAATATAAAAATGGTAAATAGTGCATTTCTAAATATTAGAAAGTGAACTCTTTTCCAAGAACAACTAGATCCTATGTTAATTAGAATAAAGACTTAATAATCTTTACCAGTGATAAAATTACAAGGAAATGTCCAATCAAGAAGAAATTTCCATTATAAAATCAGGAATTGTGCGCCGTCTTCTTTTTCACATGAAGAAATGAAATCCTCTTACCTGTCACCCTGGCCTCCAAGAAAGAGCTTAAAATGTCAAGACCCAGCCTCCTCCTGCCCTCCTTTTCATGGTTTATTAAGTGAAAAGCCCAAACTTTTCATGGTCCCTTCTGGTTCCAACAATCTATGATTCAAATAGAGGTAATGACTCTCTTTTCTTGTTCAGTAGTGTCCTGGTGAGGGAGTGATTTTACTGTCCTTTTTCTGTGGGGTCCTGCCGGTTTATCTAAAAGGAAATGAATTACAACAGAAGGACAAGGCCACAAAATAAAGCCATTTAGTTTTACAAATCTATTATGTCCTCCAATCTGTTTTATGGGCCTGGTCCTATTATAAATCGAGAAACAGTCTAAAACAAACTTTTCCTCCTGTCTCTTTTCAGTGAAAACATTTACAATTTTCTGATTGTCTCTCAAGCAGTTCAGCCTCCCCTTTCCTTATGTGTTTCTTTTCCCAGAACACCTCCATCCCACTTTCTCGAACATACAAAACATTTGGAGACAAGAAACTGGACTTTTCAAATACAAACTGCTGACAACTGTCAGAAGCACTTTACTGGGACATTACTGACTGCAGCTTCAATGAATTAAGCTTGATTCACTGCGGGTGAATCATTTTCAATGCAGAGCTGTTCAGCAGTAATTGGCCAAGAATCCCTGCTGAGAAAAGCACTTGTCAAATAATGCTTGTTTACAAATATATCTCCAGACAGCAAAAAAATGGCAGTTACTGAATAAGTTCAGGGCCACCTCCAAAAATTCATAAACATGGACTTCCCCCCTTACTTTAATTTGTTAAAATTTTATCGTTGATACACTTGGTAATAGTGTCCTGCTTGATCAATCTGAGGCAAGTGTCTTGGTAAATATGTCTCTGAACTATTCTATGATAAAAATTTTTATATTGTACTATAGATTGAAGGTTTCTTCCACTTGCAGTTTATATCTGTAAAAAGATAACTGAAGACATAATTACCTTGTAAATTGCTTAAAATTTTTGCTAAATAATAGATTTTCCTTCTATTGTCTGCTAATCAACACATTCTAAATAAATAAATTTAACATCAATCCAAGATTCTAGATACAAGTTTGGCTTTTTCTGTTCAAGCCTGCTTATTTAAATCTATTAAAGTTAAATTCTAAAAATGACAGAAATACCAATTTTGAATGTAAAGTCACATTTATTTCTTTCCACCTGATGAATCAATGTTTTTCACAAAATGAAATCTTTAAAAATATACATACACACACACACACACACACACACACACACTCATATACAGCAGTTCTTGAAATTACTAAACATCTGTATTAGGTTGAAGAGCAAATTATATGAGAGCAAGTTATTAATGAATTTAGGGTGTACATCAATTCTTTCTGTCCTTGTCCTTTCAAAGTTCATCCTGAAACAAAACCAAACTGAAAAACTCTAATCTGACTCACTAATTAAGTAAAACAAACAGTCTGCTGCTACAAATATTTTAATACATTTATAATAACACTAACATGGAAAACCAAAAGGGAAGACTGGATTTCATAGAAGCAAAATAAAGGTCTGAGATGATACTAAAGGAATGATGGAAAATTGGCAAAGATGGGATAAATTAGATAAGACTGATGGCAATAAAATTTTATTTCTAAGTATGTATAACATAAAAATTATGTATATGTCACAAAATGTGTCCCAAACAACAGGCACACTTTTATTCTTGTGTCCTCAGAGGACTGGAGGGTAAAATACTGCTTAGTTTTTTTGGATTCCCTCTCCAACAACCCTATCTCACTGTAGCTCAAGTTCGCTGTGTGTTCTAGTAGTTGGGTAAGACCATACAACCTGTGGACATGAAATCTAAAGTGAGTCAGTCTCCATTCCAGAACATTACACCAGATTAGGAAACTGGTGCTACTTTCTTGCTTCCTTTTCATTTATTTCTTTCTCCCTGTTTTTCCTCTTCCCATAATCTTAGTCCTTTAACCCACTTGATCCCCTCACTCTGAGAATTCACTTCTTTCTGTTCTCTAACAGTGACTACCTGTACTCTACCTCAATTCTGCTCCCTCAACATACATACAGAAAAAGACTTGAAATTAAAATGGAAAAAACGAAAGGGTGACTCTTTTAGGTCTAACCAGGATGCTCCTTTTCGTGGAATAAGACAGTTAAAAGGACCCATAACCCTGTTAGAATCTTTAACACTTTTAGCCGAATAAATCTAGCATAAGACGTTAGTGAAAGGTCTACAAGACTTCATAAAACACTTTTTCAACTTCATGAGGAAGGGAAAATACATATTGCTTGGCTTAATCATGGGAGAGTACATTTATATGTATCCATATCTACCGATGGATATATATTCTCCTTTGATCATATTAAAAAAAAAAAAAAAACTAAGCATATGGTTAAGGAGACAAAGTTCCTGGGGTGGGAGGTGGTGGGGGGTCTCGATCTGCCAGGCTCTCGCTAGGTTCCTTGGAAGCTGGCAGCAATAGGATACCAGCTCAGCGCGTTCTCCTACAGCCAAGACTGAACCCGTGCAAGTCACGAGGATACACAGGACTCTCGGCTGCTGCTTCATCTTTCCGGTCCAGCTTCTGCCCCAGGAGTGGAAGGAATTTCTTTAAGCTTCTGCGTGTCATGCTTCACATCCACAGCTCCAAACCAAAACCCCAGCATTCCAAATAATGGTCAGAGTTTTCTATTTTATTTTAAAATTTATTTTATTTATATTTTAAATTTGCGTGATGACCGATCCTGGTATCCCTGATCTGATCAGAGATGCTCACTGCTCTGGACACCCTCACATCCCCTATCGCGCAGAATGCGCCCTTGAGCCGAGAACCGAGCATAGTACTGGTGTGAAAGAGGAGGTACCCCAGCTGGAGGCGACAGGAGGGCGGAGGGCTGAGGGTGAAGAGGCTGGCACTGGGTGGGCTGAGCACTGCTCCAGGGGCATTCAGGGCGACACAGGTGTTGCTTCCGCGCCCGGCCTTACTCTCTCAGAAGAAGGCGGGGACAATCTTCTGGTCCGGAGCGCAGAAATGAGGGTAGGTAAGGAGACCTGGGCACCAGGATCTCATGCCTGCTGAAGCAAATCTTTTTCCCTCTATGAGATAAGCCGCGGTGGGTTCCAGATGCAACTTCTAGCAGCTATACTCCTCTCCCCTTTCTGCCGCGGCATCCCACCTTCCCGCCTTCTTCTACCTTCGCTTGAGTGTGACAGTGAGACCACCCCCCAAAGAAGGGCGCCCTAAAGTAGGGGTGCCTTTTGTCCTTTGCCATCCTGCCTCACGAAATAAAAGCTCTTGCCACCCACCCCAGAATAGCAGCTGATGATGCCCTAAATAACAGCTCCCAGCAGGCACTTTCCCCCAAATAAAAAAGCAAAAGCCACCCCCACAACGTCTCCCATCATCAACATCAAATAACGTTTTCTAAAAAGCTCCACCTGTCCTGAAATTCTTGTCATTGCTTTTCTCACTAAACGAAATGACACTTCTCCAGGCGCTCTGAGATCTAGCCGCACCCAACCTCCCAGCGCGGGTCTCAGACCCCTCTTTCCTCCTGGCTTTCAACTTCCCCGCCCCCAATCAGCCTGGGTCCACAATCAGGTTCCTCCCTGGCACTCCTCAGCTAATGTCAAACAATGCAACCAAAGACAGCGGAGAGGGAATGAAAGGCCAACGAAACCGGACGACAAATACAAAATCCACATGAGGAGAAGGATTTAGTCCGCGGCAGCCGCTTCTAAAGCTCTGTGACCCGCTCCCCCAGGCCCCGCCTCACCCCTCCACCCCAGGTGGCTGCTGCCCCCACCTCCATTTCCTTACCTTCGTTGCTGGGGCTGGCCAGGAGGGTCCGAAGCGCGGCGCACAGGAGAAGGCACGTCCAGAGTGGGGCCCTGCGAGGTGCGGAGTAGCAGCCGGCCAGAGACGCAGGGGTACGGAGGGTGTCGCCGCCGCAGCCGCCCGGGGGCCTTCGGCGTCCCGCACCCCGGGGCCGGGAGCCCCGCATCTTCTCCTACCCTCTTCTGCCGCTGTTGTCCCGCGCGCCTCAATCCACACCTCTGTCCTCAAGGAATGGGCGAGGGAGAGTCGGGGCTCCTCCTTGTCCCCCGTGGGTTCCTACGCCTTCTGGCACGCGGCTCTTCTAAATGCGGGAACCACAGACCCGCGGAGACAGCTGAAGTTTGCTTCTGGCTTCTTTCGCCTTCCCCCTCAGTAGGATTCAATGAAACACCAGCTCTGCTTGCTAGAACTGTTCTTGACTGGGCTCAACCAAGGGTGCCGGGAGGGTCTTGCGTCCTGTTCCTTTGCCTCTTAAGACTTTTGAAGAATTGCGATTTTTAAATGCCACGGGCGGGGGGGGGGGGGGGGGGAAATGTTCCTTTTCAGTCTTCAGGGCTGAAATGGACGAGGGTAAGGAAGGCAAGTCATCTGAAGATGAAATTTCCAATATAAAGAAAAGCAGGGTGGTAAAGGATAAAGAGAGAGGAGTTGAGAAAATATGGGGTGAGGAAAAAAAAAAAGAGAGAGGCGAGCAAAGGCAAAGATCCAAAGAGTTCAAAGAGGCTGGCAGAAGGAAATAGCTGCGGGCTGAGTGCTGACGAGGGGCGGTACTGACGGCAGTGAGCGGGCTGGAGCGCGGAGCTGGGCTGCGGCGGCACGGAGCTGCTGCGGTTCCCGCTGCTCAGCGAGGAGGCGGTGTGTGCGCGGCTGCGAAGGCGAGCTTGAAACTGCACCGCCACAGCGCGCTCCTGCTGTGTCTGGAGCTCTGGCGTCTCCTCTGCCTCCCTGCTCTGCGCCTCCCACCCTCCTTCCCTCCTCCTCTTCCCAGCTCCCCCGCCCCTCTGTGCTCGCAGCCTCGCCAGTGAGAATCTACTGTAAGTGTGAGTTGCTTAGACGAAGTCACACACCCACGGAGGGAAGTAATCTGCAGGCTGCCGTGGTGAGTGTTGCCTAGCGGTCTCCCGGAAAGGCGCGTCTTCCTCCCCAGATAATTAGGGCAAAGAATCCTCCTGACGACGCCAGCGAGGACCAGAGTTCCCGGGAGGCAGAAGGGAAATCAGCCTTAGCTCAGCATCAGCCCTTGGAGAAGCGGGTCCCTTGGTTTGGCATATTGGCTGCTGCCACTCACAGGTTTGTGGCATCAACAACCTTGTCGTCACACAGCCGCGCTTTCACAGGCTCTGCTGGTCCGTGGCTAGTTTCTTAAACAACCATATCGCTCACTGCTATTGACCCTTCCTGTCCTTCCCATAGTTTGGCGGCTTGAAGGAGAGAATTACCGAACGTTTTCATCAGAAGTAAATTGTAGAATATCTAAATTCTATTCAGGCTGTAGGTCTCAGATTTCAGGGAGTTAAAGAATTTGGGAACTGAGATTTGTACTGTCAAATACTTTAAGATGTCATGATTTAATTCATTTATGTAATTAATAGAATGTTTAAGTATTTTAGAAAGTATATAATGTGCAGATATATGCAATTACTTCTAGTGATATTAGCATGGGTCAAATAATCTCAGGGGTTAATTATTTTAATTGCTTGTGTTCTCTTACATTGAGAGGTTTACAAATAACCAGGAGAAAAACAGTTTAAGACAACGTTCTGTGCTTCACCTCCGTTATGTCTTCCTTTGCTTTAATATTTTCCATCAATTTACTCATACATTCGTCGAAAGAGATACATCTGAAGGGCAATTTTAGTAAACTGGCATTTTTAAGAAAAAACTGCGAATAAAAACGCATTCACAAAAATGTGATTTTAGAATAAAGATATCTCATTTAACTTGGGGTCTAGTAACAACTGTCAAGATTGGGCTTGTATTCACACCTAATAAAGATGAACCTGTTCACCAGCTTTGACTTATCTAGACTCCTGTTTGCCTTCACAATAAATCTATCGCACTCTTTAGCTGATGACATTTGTTTTTTGATTAAATATTTGCAATGAAGATGGAAGAATAAAGCTGCAGTTATGCAATTTTGTAAAGAGGTGGAAACTCATCTTTGATTTTTTTCCCTGAAATATTTCGGCACCAGAAGTGTGAAATCAGCTTCATTCTATTATAATGTGCTTCAAATGCATGTAGCAAATTTAGAGGAATGGCAACAAATCAGTCTTTCAGTTTGGCTAAAAGCTTCACAGTGAGATGAAAAGTTAAAATGCATGTTTCTATTTGAAGACCATTCAAAATGTAAGCATCTTTCCCTACCCCATTTATAGTTGAGTTACTTAAGAATTTCTAAAGAGAATAATAAGATATCTAAAGCCTAAGAATACATAATAAAGCTAATATGACATAAGCTGTTTAATGTGGTTTTGAGCTAGTTGTTTTACTTCTATAGGCCTCAATATCCTCATCAATAAGATCAGGGATATAGAGAAGATGATCTTCAAGCTCTCTTCCATATTCTTTGAATTTCTATCTTATTCCCTAGTTCATCAAGCTTCGGCTATTTACTATTGACTACAAAAAAATAAAAATTTCTTCAGCTTAGAACTTAAAGACAAAAAAGGCTTAGGGAAATTTTCTATTTTATTTTTCACTAAAATTTTAATCTCAGTGTTCCTCTAAATTACCTCATGTGTCTGAATTTTATATCTGCCCCTCCATTCTACAGAAATTCCACTCCCTAACAATTATTTAAACCACCCAAGACACATAGTACTTTCATCTAAATCCTACGCATTATTCAAGAAGAGTCAGACACTGAAGCCTGATTCTTTTCCAGACAAGAAATGACTTGGTTCTTTTCTTGGAAGTATATGTAGCTTGTGATTTATGTCAATCAAAAAATTACCAATATTTTCTGAATGTGAAGTTGGAAGTAATTATCCATCTGGAGGTTGAATATAAAGGGACAAAGAGAATTTAAAATAGAGGTATCAAAGAAAACCTGGAACCCTGGTCATTGCACTCATAATTGTGTGATCTGCTACCCAAGATGGGCTAATTCAATGATTGAGAATACAGAATGCAAAATCTTTTTAATTCTCCACCTTAAGTAGCTTAAGTTGTTTAATATGAGGAAGCAGGAACATCTGTAGAATGAAGCCCAAAGGCAATAATCAGTTATTTTTTTTATCTAGAGAGGGTTAATCATAGAAGGCAATGTTAGTACTTTGGCTTGGGTCTCAATTTCAAAGAGTTATCCATGTGTTGATCTGTTGGCATGCCAGTACTCCTAGCACACTCACATAGGAACATGGCATTGCATGAAAACTAGATCTTTTTTTTTTCTTTCATGCTTATTGCTTTTCACAGTAAAAGGCTATGACATCAGTATTGGTTTGGATGTCCTATTGTTTGCATTTCTTATGTTTGCAATTGACTGCTATGGCCTCAAAAGGTAAAAGTCACTGGTTTCTTGCTGGGTCTCTGCTTGTACATGACTTCAGTACTAAGTTTCAAGAATGAGGGATAATCTAGAGTAACCTTAATAAGGCACCTAGAATGTTTACTACCCTTATAAAACTTTTGCTATATGATTGAGTTCAATGTATTAATAACCCTGAATATATCTTCTTTGCACTCAAAATAGAGCAACAATCTTGAAGAAAGACTTATTACTATTTAGTAAAGGTTTGCCATGTTTGAAGCATTATGTGATGTTTTTACAATAATCATTTTTTTACATAATGCTGACACTTCAACCATGATGTGAGTGTAATTATCACTCCCATGTTAATGATGAGAAAACTGAGGAAATGAGGTTCGGTGATCTGAGTGCTAATTCAGCTGGTAAGCCATAAGAACTTTATCCCTTGGTGCTGACTCTATCCAAGAAATGCTAATGTAATGGAAGTAAAGGATAGAATTAATAACCAGTTGATTAGATAAAGAAGACTACTAAAAAATTTTACATTAATGACAAAAAATAATAGATCAAAATATTCAAATTCATGTTTATTTAAATCCAAAAGCAAATAAGCAAGTATATAGTACAGATCAGATAAATTAATAGAAGAAAATGAGAAACTAATATCATAAAAAACATTATTTAGAGAAAAAAGATAGTTTAAGGTACACAGAAGCATGCTGGTAGAAGAAACATGTACAGTAGAGATCATTGACCAAATCAAGAAAATAACAAGGTTAAGGATTGTAGTCATATAATATTAGCACAAACAGGTGGCCCAAAGCCTGTGTATATACACCTTGGAAGAAAACCTAAGCAAGAGTCTTTATAGTCTTTTATTTAAAATGTTTTTGTCTCTTAGCTGCATTTTCTTGTAGGGAGAATTGATAAAAAACAATAGCAAAGCAAAAGATATCATTAGATATCCAATGAATCTTTACTATCCTAATGAAGTTAATTTTTCAGACCCACGACTTGCTGAAGAGGTTAGATGTATGTTGATGTTAATTATTTTAAACCGAAGGTAAATGTTCACATTATATTAAAGAAATCAATAGGGCTTGAAGTTCACAATCAAGATAATATTTTAGAAATCATATTTATATATTGAATTTTAATTTAATGAACATAAAAGAAAATATTTCATTTTTATTCAGCGTTATTCTGACCTTTAAGAATTTTTTATCTCCATCAATGACTCACATTTCTACCTATTTATGTGAGATTAAATTTTATTTCAAGTTAATTGTATCAGTTGGATATTTTTAACTTTAAAAACAATAAATAATAATATTTTAACCAATTAATAAGGGTTGGAATATGTCAATTATTTTATTACTTAAAAACAAATTGAAGTATTACTCATCAGAATCCTCATTTATTTATTTTTTAATTGATTTTATTATTTTTATAATACACAGCAACAGTGGAATGCATTACAATTCTTATTACACATATAGAGCACAATTTTTTTGTGTCTCTCTATATAAAGTATGTTCACACCATTTTATGCCATTATACATGTACTTTATAATTAAAAATATTTATATCAGAATAAGCACTCAGTTTTCTCCTATGACTATTAAGAAACAAGTAAAGTCCTTACGCTATCTATGGTTATTAATAGGAGTTCTGTAACAAAAAAAGAAAGACATAATATTCAAATAAATTACAATGAGACAAAGAACCACACTGGTCCTTGTTGGTGATCTAGTCTTTAATCGTCCCTATAGCACTGTACCAGGATTGAAGATATCATAGCATAGTGTGAAACCAAGGCTGATATAGTTTATGGTCAGGCAAATTGACTTACCAGGAAATTCTTTGACGGTTGCTTGCCTCCAGCATCTTGGACAACTGCATCATATAAGGATGTGGACACTGAAATAATAAGGTCTCTTAAGGCTGAAGAAGAAAAGTGTGCACAGAAGTGTCATAAGATTGATGTGACTTAACTATGAGCATTAA